ATTATTATCATTTGTAATTAAAAATATTTAATTTGTTTGATTGTGATAGTTGTTTATGAAATTTTAAAAATAAATACTCTCTTAATCTTTTAATCTTAGTTATATGTCAAATTTAATCCATATATTTTTAATTTTAAATAATTTTAATTTTGGAATTTTCTATACCTTTTTGTCTCACATTATAAAAAATATATTTTTTAATCATTTTATTATTTTATTTGTTGTGTCTGTACATTTAGTATTTTTTTTGCCATTGAACTTTTATTTTATACATATTTAAATCATTAAAATAAATTAAAAAACATCAACTATATAGACATGACAAATGTTCAGCACTTAGTGGCTCAATGACCCTCATGCCGGGACGTGATTAGGATTAAAAAGCTTGGGATCAAATCCCAAGCCCCCTTCCCCCAAAAAAAAAAAAAAATTTCACACTGTTCAAAAAAAGAAATATATATATATATAGACATAACAAACAAAAATTATTAAAGAGAAAAAAAGAGTGTATCATTTATAATTGAGAGATGAAAAAAGGTAAAAAAAATAATTTAAAGACTATACTTATTTCAAATTAAAAATTAAAATAAAAAACTAAATTTAATGCTTAACCTTAAATTTTTAATATGGGTTAAATTTAATAAATAATCTATTAACTATATATATTTTACCTATTTTGTTTATTAATTATTGTTTTATACTTAACTAGTCTGTAAACTTAAAAAAAAAAAAAAAATCACCTTGATCTAGTTGTTAAAATTTTGTCACTGGAGCTAACAGAAATCTACGTTGGCACCTATTTGGCACCAAATAAGCTGCCAGGTAGGCGCCACATGGCTGACAATAATATAAACTCTTAATGCATTCAAATAAATTTCTTAAACTTGTAAACCCCAAACAATTCAAAATTTGATTACATGGTTTGGTGAATGCTTTAAAACATAATTTATTGAAATTAATACGTTAATTCAAGTTATTTTTAAAATTTAGTTATTTAAATTATAATTAAAAATAATACATATTAGTTTTAATTCTAATTAAAAAATTAAAATTTGAATTTTAAAAAATATTATAAAATACCAAAAATTAAATTGAATACTTTACTTATATAGATTATGTATTCTCTTAATTCATTTATATCCCATTGGGTTTTAGCCTCTCTTTTTTTCTTATTTCATTAATTTTAAAATCAAATTTATTTAATTTTATTAAATTGGTTTAATTTAAATATTATTTTGCCTTTTTTTTAGAGGTTAGGGATTAAACTTTAAATATGTAACTAAGAGCACAAGAAAATTTATCACTAAATCATATGGTTGACGATATTACTTATACATTTAAAAGTAATGGCCTACAAATGTTAAGAGTAATGATATAAAAACAATTTTTTTATACAATCTTTTTATATATTTCATCTATTATTAATTAAGTGGATTCATTAAATATTATAAGTTTCAAATTAATAAAAATAATTAATCATTTAAATAACAAGCAAGATTGTATAAAAAGAAAGAGTTGAAAAAAATTATCCATAATGACCTATTTGGAAATACAAATTTAGTAAAGTGTATTTAAATTTAAGAAGTGTCTAAATTCAATTTTATTGTTTGTTTACATAAATTTTTATGCAATTGAAATTGATATAAATACATGTATTTCATCCCATATATTTTAAATACATTTTTTACCTTATCAACTTTAAACCTAGACTATGATATTTGATTTAAAATACAATTTTTTTGCACTTTTCAATTAAGATCTGCTCTTCTCTGCTCCGATCAAAATCTCTTTCTTCTTCTTTCCCCCTCTTTCTCTTATATATTATTTGATCAAAATCAAGCCAATAAGAAAATTGGCGAGGGGTGGGAGCAAAGGAGTGGATTCTTCTAAGCGGGAGCTAGACAAGGATGTGCCCATTTCAGAAAAAAACAATTTCACGACAACCCCACACTGAAGTCAAGATAAGATATATCTTTATGGACTGAATTGAGGTTGGAAAATATAATTTGAACATCGGGGCTTTCGAAAGGTTGAGATGAAGTCGAAACTTAGGAAAATTGTGAAATTGTAGTGTGGGGGGCTAGTGGCTAACAGTGACAGTAGGTTGGGGGATGAAAATTAGGTCTTGGGGGCTGTCGGTTGTGTAGAACTGCACATGGGGTTAATGGGGAGGTGGGCTACAGCCGGAATGAAGAGGGAATGAATTTTTTGTTTTTTTTTATTGTAGTTTAAGATGGTTTATTATTTATTTGTAAAAATATTTTAATAAAATAGATTTTTTTTTATAAGGGTAATGGTTAATAAGTTAATATTGTTAGATGTTAGTAATTGAGGATTCGATCCCCAGATCAAATGAACAACCCACCGATTTCAATGAGGTGCACAACCATTAGACCGCTTGGTGGAGTTTATAAAATAGATTATTTGAAGATTCAACTTTTGAGTTTATATGGTTTGTCCTTAAATTTTAAAGTATTTGTATTAGTTGATTGGGGTTTTGAATTTCACCAAATATTTCCAAAAATTCCCTTTCACATTTTTATAAAATTGTAAATTGTTCAAAAAAAATAAATTATTTGAAATTTAATTATAAATTTATGGTTTAAGTACCATTTTGGTCCCTCAACTATCCACTTTGGTACCAAAATTGTCCCTTAACTTTAAAAAGTACCAAAATTATCCTTGAACTTTT